ATGAGTGATATAGTATGGTACTATACTGGTGAATATGTCTTTATAAATTTGTCCAAATCCACAGACCGTATAACACCAAGAGCGAACCCTAATGTAAACCAGGGACTCTGGGTGACAATGATATGTCAATACAGGTTCAATGATTGTAACAAATGTACCTCTGTGGTATGGGATATTGATAGGGGAGGAGGTTGTACTTGGGGGCAAGGGATATACGGGAACTTTGTAATTTCTGCTGTCTTGCTGTGTATCTAAAACTGCTCTAAAAAACAGTCTACTAAAAAAAGAAATGTTGGGGCACCTGGGTGGCTCAAGTCAGTTAAGTGCCATGGATCGAGAGGGTGAAGCCCTGAGTCAGGCTCTACACTGACAGTGTGGACCTTGTTGGAATTGGATTCTCCCTCTCTAGCTCTTTGCCCCTCCCCCACTCATGCTTTTTCTCTCTCTCAGAATTAAAAAAAAGTTGGGAAAAAAAAAAAGTAAAGGGGTGCCTGGCTGGCTCAGTTAGTAGAGCATTCAACTCTTGATCTCTGGGTCATGAGTTCAAGCCCAACGCTGGGGACAGAGTTTACTTAAAAAAAAAAAAAAAAATTTGGCATAAGATAAACATACAGATCAATGAAATTAAATAAAGAGCTCAGAAACCCTCAGATAAATAAATGGTCAATAGATTTTGACAAAGGTGCCAAGACTCTTCAATGGGAAAAGGACAGTCTTTTTACCACATGGGTCAGGGAAACTGAAAAACCACATGCAAAAGAATGCAGCTGGATCCATATCTTGCATCATATATAAAAATCACCTCAAAATGAATTACCTAAATGTAAAAGCTACAATTTTAGAACTCTGAGGAAACAAGAGGGAAAATTTTCATAACCTTGGACTTGGCAATGGTTTCTTGAATTAACAGCCAAAGAAAAGGCAAAAAAAGAAAAAATAAAATGGACTTCAAAATTTAAAACATCTGCGCATCAAAGAACACTACCAAGAGGGTGAAAGGACAACCCAAAGAATGGGAGAAAATATATGTAAACTGTACATCTGATAAGGGATTGCTATCAAGAATATATAAAGAAATCCTACAACTCAGCAATGAAAAAAAGATGCGAATGACCTAATTAAAAATGGGCAGAAGCCTAAAATAGACAATTCTTCAAAAACAGATATACAAATACCCAATAAGCACATAAAAAGATGTTCAATCTCAGTCATTAGGGAAATGCAAATCAAAACCACAATGTCACTTCACATCTACTAGCATAGCTATTATAAAAAAAAAATAGGAGACAAGTGCTGGCCAGGCTGTGGATAAACTGGAACCCTAATGCACTGCTGGAATTCCAAAATGGTGCAATTTTTACAAAAAGTAGTTTGCAGGTTCCATAAAAAGTTAAAAATAGCCATATGGCCATATGGCCAACAGGACTCAAACAGATACTTGTACACCAGTGGTTAAGTAGCATTACTCACAAGAGCCAAAAGGTAGGAACAACCCAAATGTCCATCAACAGGTAAATGAATAAAGGAAATGTGGTATATACATACAATGAAAAATTATTTCGCTTTTTAAAAAGGAAATTCTTCTTACCATACACAAAAACAAATTCAAAATGAATTAAAAACCTAAATGTAAGACCTGAAACCATAAAAATCCTAGAAGAGAGGACAGTTCTTTGCCTCTCGTGAGGCAAAGAAAAACAGGGGTGCCTGGCTGGCTCAATCGGTGGAAGTGCAACTTTTGACCTCAAGGTTGTGAGCTCAAGCTGCACATTTGGTCTAATTCCTTAAAAGTAAAATCTTAAAAAACAAAAAACAAAGAAAAAAGCAAAACAAACAAAAACAAACTACTGGGACTACATCAGAATAGAAAGCTTCTCAAAAATAATATAAACACAGGGAGGGGGACAAAACGTAAGAGACTCTTAAATATAGAGAACAAACAGAGGGTTGCTGGAGGGGTTGTGGGAGGGAGGATGGGCTAAATGGGTAAGGGGCTTAAGAAATCTATTCCTGAAATCATTGTTGCACCAGATGCTAACTAACCTGGATGTAAATTACAAAAAATAAAAATAAATAAATCAACATAAATAAATAAATGTTCATTTATCCTTAAAAAAAAAAAAAAGCTTCTGCACAGCAAAGGAAATAATCAACAAAACTAAAGGACAACCTACTGAATGGGAGAACATGTTTGCAAATGACATATCTGACAAAGGGGTAGTATCCAAAATATATAAACACCTTATAAAACTCAACACCCAAAAAACAAATAATCCAATTAAAAACTGGGCAGAAGATGTGAACAGACATTTCTCCAAAGACATCCTGATGGTCAACACACATGAAAAGATGTTCAACATGACTAATCATCAGGAAAACGCAAATCAAAACAACAATGAGATATCACCTCACACCTGTCAGAATGGCTAAAATCAACAACACAAGAGACGACTGGTGGCAAGGATGTGGAGCAAAAAGACCTTGTACCCACTGTTGGTGGGAATGCAAATTGGTGCAGCCACCATGGAAAAGAGTATGGAGGCTCCACAAAAAATTAAAAATAGAACTATTCAGGGGCTTCTGGGCGGCTGAGTCAGTTGAGCATGTGATTCTTGATTTTGGCTCAGGTAATGATCCCATGGAATCAAGCCCCACATTAGGCTCCATGCTGAACCTAAAGCCTGTTTGAGATTCACCCTCTTCCCCACTCACGTGCTTTCGCTCTCTCTCTCTCTCTCAAAAATATAAATAAACAAACAAATAAATAAAACGGAACTACCCTATGATCCAGTAATCCCACTACTGGGTACTTATCAAAAGAATACAAAAAAACTTACTCAAAAAAAAAGGACACAAGGACATATGAACCCCTATTTTTACCGCAGCATTATTTAAATTAGCCAAATTATGGAAGCAGCCCAAGTACCCATGGACAGATGAATGGATAAAGAAGACGTCTCTCACACACACACACACACACACACACACACACACAGGAATATGATTTGGCCATCATAAAGAATGAAATCTCGCTGTTTGCAACAACATGGATGGAGCCAGAAAACATAATGCTAAGTGAAGGAAGTGAGTCAGAGAAAGACAAATACCACACGACTTCACTCATAAGTGGAATTCAAGAAACAAAACAAATGAACAAAGGGGGAAAAAAAAGATAGGCAAACCAAGAACCACACTTTTAGCTATAGAGAGCAAACAGTTACCAGAGGGGAGGTGGGTGGGTGGAACAGGGGACAGGGATTAAAGAACACACTTGGGATGAGCACTAACGTATGGAAATGTTAAATCAGGTGTACAGTGTACACCTGAAACTAATACAGCACTTTATGTTACCTACACTGGAATTAAAATACTTTAAAAAAGAGGAAATTCTGACACATGATAAAACACGGATAAGCCTCAATGACAATTATGCTAACTGAAATAAACCAGGCACAGAAATACAAACACTGTATGATTCCACTCATGTGAAGTACCTAAAACAGGCAAATTCATAGGTACAAAAAGTAGAATACACGTTCCCAGGGGCCAGAAGGTGGGGATGGGGATGAGGTTATTATTTAACAAGTAGAGTTTGTGTTTGGAACAATGAAAAACTTCTGGAAATAGATAACGGTGTTGTTACACAGCACTGTTAATGTACTCAACACCACTGAATCACACACTTAAAATAGTAAAATGGTAAATTTTATGTAACATATATATCATCCCAATTAACAAAACAAAGGGGAAAACATGAGTGATTTTCAAGCATTAGGAGAGCCTGGGTGGCTCATCTGGTTAAGCGTCCAACTTCAGCTCAGGTCATGATCTCATGGTTTGTGAGTTAGAGCCCCATGTTGGTCTCTCTGCTGTCAGCATTGATGGATCCTCTGTCCACCTCTCTTTGCCCCTCACTCACTGGTTCTCTCTCTCTCTCTCAAAACAAATAAACAAACTTAAAAAAAAAAAAAACCCCAAAACATTAAAAGTTAACCAAATACATACCCTTAGAGCCCTTTTAATTGCATCCACAATGAAACTTGGTGTCACAGACTGTATATTCCAAAGATGACAGCAAAAGCATGGCTTATTCTACATGCTCTTCTGCATAGGGAATGACCCTCCTATCAAGAAGTGGAGTCTATACCTCCATCCCCTTGAATCTGGGCCAGTCATGGGACTATTTTGACATACAGAATATGATGGTAATGAAAGTTCTGCCAATTCCCAGTATCATCCCTAACTGGCCTGGCAAGTAGCCTTAACTTGCCTTCTCGCCAAGGAGTCCCACAGAGAGATCCACAAAGGCCAGGATCCCTGGCCAATAACCTGACTGAGCTCGGTCAAGAGCCAGTACCAACTTCCCAGCCACATTAAGTAAGGCAAATATGGAAATGGATCCCCAGTCCCAATTAAGCCATGCCAGCAGATACAGCATGAAACAGAAACTAGGTTAAGTGCTGAGCTCTAGCTAAAGCAAAGATTTATAGAGAAAATAGATGATAGCTGCCACTACATTTTGGGGTGGTTCATTACAAAGTCACAGACTGCCAGAACACATCCTTAATGAGGGTAATTCAAACTGTCTCTGTTGTACATGTTCAGGGTTCTAAGTCTTACATATATACAACAATGGAGACATCACACAGAATATAAAAGGTTACTTTCAATTAAAGCTCTAATGTGAATCATGAAAACCTCCAGGTTGCATGGCACAATGGAAAGAATATAACACAAAACAGAGAATTTTAAGTTCTATTTCTCCTTACCTGATTAATGGCTATAAAGTTTGGTCAAACCAATGTACTCCTTGTCTTATTTTCTTTACCTCAAAGATGGAATAATAATAATGCTTATTAGCCCCCAGAGTTCTGAATAAAAGAGGAGATAGAAGATACAAACTCTGGTTCTAAACTCAGTACACAGTAAACACACAGTACACAGTACACTGCAGTGCTTGGTCAAATTAAATACTCAACAGATACTTCAGTAAACATTACCTCCATGAAGAGACATGCAAGGATAAGATGCTCTCATTAAATCTTTCAGAAGACCATCTGCATGTTCCTGCTTATCCACAAATATAATGACAGATCCCGATTCTTGATAATGGCCAAGAAGCTCAAGTAACTTCAAGAACTTCTTTTCTTCTTCAATCACAATCTGCAAACAGCAAATCGCACCAAGTTAATGGAGTAAAACTGCAAATACATCTTGTGAACAAAAATACTCATTTTATTTGTGGCAGATGGCAAAATGACAATATCTTGCTGTATTTTAGGACCAGGCAGGAAAATATTGATTTTAATTGATAAACCAGTAAGACCAAAAACAAATCTGTAACTTTCAGAGAGGGGGCTTGTAAATGTGGGCAATCACCTGGTTCTCTCTGCCTCTTGATCTCACACCCTATTAACTAAAAAACAAGATGTGACATTTCTATTAACAAGCCCACCTCTTCTGGTGGGACGAACTAAAAAGGGCATTTTTTAAGAGGATTTTAAACATGCAGTTCCACAGAAAAGCATATTCAAGTGCATCATATAAAATATTAATGGCTGCAGTTGTATCCTATTTAATTTTAGAAATTACCTTCCTACATCACAATGATCCCACAAGAATCACATCCTGAACATCCAGGGAACTGAGGGTTTTTTAAAGGCTGTACCCACCACTTGTTGTTCCACATCTGAGCAAACCACGCTTCTGCCTCCAACCTGCACTTCAATGGGTTTACTGAGGATTCTGCGAGCCAAAGCCTCCATAGCTCTGGGGAAAGTAGCTGAAAACATAACTGTCTGTCGATCGGGACGGACATTATCCACAATGCGCATGACCTAAGGACACAATGCAAATAAATACGGTTGAGTGTAGCCTCTAAAAGTCAATGATGTTAAAATCAAGTAGAAAGAAATTTTGAGAACATCCATTCAGTGACTTCTAAACCTGTTACCTTAGATTATAATAGATTTACCCCATAATTTGATTTTACCCCATAATTTGCTCCTCTCAGTTTCCCCCCCGTTAAGAAATGGCAACTGTAGTTATCTACATGTTTAGGCCAAAGATGGAGGAGCCATCTGTAACTACTCTCTCTCTCTCTCATCTCACACCTAATTCACCAATAAATACAGTATTCTCAGTCTTCAAACTACATTTGGGATGAAACTATTCTCCCTTGTACCACTGTTTTCCTTCACTTAGTAAACACAATTTTACTGAACTATTATGTGCCAAGCACTGCTCTATTTGGAAATATCCAATAAAAACAGACAAAAACTTGTCTCCATGGAACTTCTATTCTAAGGAGAGTGGACACATAAATATATTATGTATCAAAGGTTGAAAGAGCTACAGAAAGAGAACAATGAAGGTGAACATACTGTTGAGGGAGTAAGATACAGGCACCAATTGCCTCAGTGTCTACAGAGCCCTGGAGAAAATAAAGACTCCTAGGATTCTTGTGATATTGGTAAAACAAGAAAAAAAGTAATAATGAGTAATATTACTGATGATGGTTTAAAGGTAGATGGTGGTGAGTGACTGGAAACTGGGAAGGGTATTCTTCCAAAGAAGACATCCAGACGACTAACAGATACATGAAAATATGTTCAATATCACTCATCATCAGGGAAATACAAATCAAAACCATGATGAAATACCACCTCACAGGTGTCAGAATGGCTAAAATTAACTCAGGAAACAACAGTGTTGGCGAGGATGTGGAGACAGGGGAACTCTCTCGCACTGTTGGTGGGAATGCAAACTGGCGCATCCACTCTGGAGAACAGTATGGAGGTTTCTCAACAAGTTAAAAAATAGAACTACCCTATAATCCAACAATTGCACCACTCCGCATTTACCTAAGGGATACAAATATACAGATTTGAAGGGGTACATACACTCTGACCTTTACAGCACCATTATCAACAATAGCAAAACTATGGAAAGAGTCCAAATGTCCATTAAATGACGAATGGATAAAGAATGTGGTAGAGGAGTGACTGGGTGGCTCAGTCAGTGATGCATCCGACTTTAGATCAGGTCATGATCTTGCAGTTTATGGGTTCAAGCCCCACGTCGGGCTCTGTACTGACAGCTCAGAGCCTGGAGCCTGCTTCCGATTTTGTGTCTCCCTCTCTCTGGCCCTCCCCCACTCACTCTCTGTCTCTTTCTCTCTCAAAAATAAACAAACAGTAAGAGTTTTTACAAAATAAATTTTAAGAAAGATGTGGTAGGCAAACACAAATGGTAGTGAGGATGAGGAGAAAGAGGATCTCTTTTGCACTGCTAGCAGGAATGCAAACTGATGCAGCCATTCTGGAAAACAGTATGGAGGTTCCTCAAAAAATTAAAAACAGAACTACCCTACGACCCAGCAAATTGCACTACTGGGTATTTATCTAAGGGATACAGGTGTGCTGTTTCCAAGGGGCACATGCACTCCAATGTTTATAGCAGCACCATCAACAATAGCCCAAGTATGGAAAGAGCCCAAATGTCCAACGACAGATGAACGGATAAAGAAGGTGTGGTATAGGGGCGCCTGGGTGGCACAGTCGGTTAAGCGTCCGACTTCAGCCAGGTCACGATCTCGCGGTCCGTGAGTTCGAGCCCCGCGTCAGGCTCTGGGCTGATGGCACAGAGCCTGGAGCCTGTTTCCGATTCTGTGTCTCCCTCTCTCTCTGCCCCTCCCCCGTTCATGCTCTGTCTCTCTCTGTCCCAAAATAAAATAAAAAAAAAAAAAAAAACGTTGAAAAAAAAAAGAAAAAAAAAAAGAAGGTGTGGTATATCTATACAATGGAGTGTTACTCGGCAATCAAAAAGAATGGCATCTTGTCATTTGCAACTACGTGGGTGGAACTAGAGGGTATTATGCTAAGCGAAATTAGCCATTTGGAGAAAGACAAATATCATATGACTTCACTCATATGAGGACTTTAAGATACAAAACAGATGAACATAAGGGAAGGGAAACAAAAATAATATAAAAACAGGGAGAGGGACAAAAACAGAACAGACTATTAAATATGGAGAACAAACAGGATTACTGGAGGGATTATGGGAGGAGGGATGGGCTAAATGGGTAAGGGGCATTAAGGCATCTACTCCTGAAATCACTGTTGCACTATATGCTAACTAACTTGGATGTAAATTAGAAAAATAAATTTTAAAAGAGCATGAGTTTTACAGTATGTAAATTTTATTTGTCAACAAAACAAAACAAAAAGCAACAAAATGTTTCAAGATGGTAAAAGATTAATCAAGCTCAAGGAAGCTGGCAGTAAGAAAAAGTTGAGAATGAAGCTATTCTCCCTATATGGAGATGAAAGGTGGGATTCCAAAATGAAGAGAATTGATGCAAAGTCTGCTTAAGAAGCAATCAAATCCCAGGGCACCTAGGGGGTTCAGTCAGTTAAGAGTCCAACTTCAGCTCAGGTCATTTTCACAGTTTGTGGGTTTGAGCCCCACATCAGGCTGTGCTGAAGCTCAGAGTGTGGAGCCTGCTTCAGATTCTGTGTCTCCCTCTCTCTCTATTCCTCCCCCACTCATGCTCTCTCTCTCTCTCTCTCTCAAAAATAAAAAAATTTTTTAAGAAGCAATCAAATCCCTCAACCTCCACCTATCTCCTACTGTCAGGCCCTTCTCTCACCCTAGCCAAAGACCCAAAGGTTTAGCTGATGCAGAATATAAAATAAGAACATGACTGGATGAGGCAAGGATAACATCCTAAGAAGAAAAGCATTAAGTAAATGCATGATGTTCAATACTGAGACTTCCACTCTCCCTCAAGCCTCTTTCCCAACCTAGAACAAGAGACAGGCCTTTACAGTCCAGGCTGGAGACTGGCCAATATTTTTCCAGGGACGGTCTGCCCAGTCCAAGAAGTCAGGCAGAAGACAGTCCTCATCTAAATGAAAGTCCCAGCCAGATTACAACAGTGAAACTCAGGATCACTAAGTACTGCTCTGGCACAGAGAACTCTGAATTTTAAGCTGCCTTTTCTCTGTCCCTTAAATGTAAGTAGTTAAAAACAGGTTCCCAGACCTCTACAGAATGTTTCTAATCTGAATGCAGAAATCAAAGCAAATAGAAAATCAACTCAGAGGACATAAATCCTACGCAGATAGAAGGCAATCTTTAAAAATGAGTCATTTAAATGAAATCTTGCCATTTGCAACAACATGGATGAACCCAGAGGGTATAATGCTAAGTGAAATAAGTCAGTCAGAGAAAGACAAATACCATATGATCTCATTTATGTATGGAATTTAAGAGGCAAATGAACAGGTGTGCCTAGGTGGCACCATTAGTTAAGAATCCAACTCTTGATCTTGGCTCAGGTCATGACCTCATGGTTCATGCGACTGAGCCCCACACTAGACTCTGTGCTAACAGCATGGAGCCTGTTTGGTATTATCTCTACCCCCCTCTCTCAAAGTAAATAAACTTAAAAAAAATGAATAAAGAATAAAAACAGACAAAAGAAAAAAAAAAGCATACTCTTAAATACAGAGAACAAAATGGTGGTTACCAGAGGAGAGGTGAGCAGGGATAAGTGCAACAGGTGAAGGGGATTAAGAGTACACTTATCATGATGAGCACTGAGTAATATATAGAACCGCTAATAACATACACCTGAAACTAATAGCACTGTATGCTAATTATACCTGAATAAAAGTAAATTTAGAACATAAAAATAAATCACTGAAGGGGCACCGGGTGACTCGGTTGGTCAAGGGACGGACTCTTGATTTTGGCCCAGGTCATGATCTCACGACTCGTGAGTTCAAGCCCTGAACTGGGCTCTGTGCTGACAGCACAGAGCCTGCTTGGGATTCTCTGTCTCCCTCTCTTTCTGCCTCCCACACTCACATGCTCTCTGTCTCAAAAATAAATAAACATTTAAAAAAAAATCATTTAAGGGGCACCTCGGTGGTTCAGTCGGTTAAGCGTCTGACTTCAGCTCGGGTCATGATCTCGCAGTTTGTGAGTTCAAGCCTCACGCTGGGCTCCGTGCTGACAGCTCAGGGCCTAGAGCCAGCTTCTGATTCTGCATCTCCCCCTCTCTCTCTGCCCCTCCACCGCTCACACTCTTCCAAAAATAAATAAACGCTCTCAAAAATAAAGAAACATTGAAAAAAAAATCATTTAAGTGCTCACTTTAGCAGCACACATACTAAAACAAATTGGAATGATACAGAGATTAGCATGTTCCCATGCAAGGAGGAAATGCATGAAGAGTTCCATTAAAAAATTTTTTTTAATTTTTTTTTTAATGTTTATTTATTTTTGATAGAGAGAGAGAGAGACAGAGCATGAACGGGGGAGGGTCAGAGAGAGGGAGACACAGAATCCGAAACAGGCTCCAGGCTCTGAACTGTCAGCACAGAGCCCGACGCGGGGCTCGAACTCACGGACCGCGAGATCATGACCTGAGCCGAAGTCGGCCACTTAACCAACTGAGCCACCCAGGCGCCCCCAAAAAAACTCTTTTAAGAAAAGATTTACTCTTGAGTTATATAACTTTGGGGATCCTAACAAGATGAGAAATAAAGGGGACCCTCAGAATGATGGATATCCCAAGACAGCAGCTATATGTCAGACAGAGAACAACAAACCATTACTGGAACACATCAAGAGGCTCTGAAGAAATCTTAAGGAAGATAAAACAAATGGGTAAGTTAATGTGTTTCAACTATTTGATAGGTTTATACACAGAGTTTGGTATTTTATTAGTTTTAAATATACAGAGACCTAAGAAAACCAGCCAACAAACATAAAAAGACAGGTATCCCTAGAGAAAAGAAGACGGTTATCTCTAAAGAAAAAAAAG